CAAAAGATTTTCAATATAAATGAAATAGTGTCATATTGAAAGAAGTTGCCATCTGAGACTTCCATAACTAGATAGGAGAAGTTAATGCCTAGCTTCGAAGCTTCAAAAGACAGGCTGATTCTCTTGTTAGAGGCTAATGCAACTGGTGACTTTACATGGAAGGCAATGCTCGTTTATCATTCTGAAAATCCTAGGGCCCTTACGAATTATGATAAAACTACTCTATGCTCTATAAATGGAAAGCCAACGCCTGGATAATAGCACATATGTTAACAGCATGGTTTACTGAATATTTTAAGCCCCCTGTAGAGATCTGCTTCTCAGGAAAAAAAAAAATCCCTGTCAAAATATTACTGCTCTTTGACAATTCACCTGGTCATACAAGGAAATTAATGTTGTTTTCATCCCTGCTAAACATCTGTTCTGCAGTCCATGGTTAAAGGACTAATTTCTACTTTCAAGGCTTAGTATTTGAGAAATACATTTCATAAAGTAATAGCTGCCATAATAGTGATTCCTGTGATGAATCTGGACAAAGTAAATTGAAAACCTCTGAAAAGGATTCACCATTGCAGATGTCATTAAGAACATTTGTGATTCATGGAAGGAAGCTAAAATATCAACATTAACAGTAGTTTGGAAGAAGGTGATTTCAACACTCATGAATGACTTTCAGGAGTTCAAGATTTAAGCAGAAGAAGTTAATTACAAATGTGATAGAAATAGCAATGAAACTAGAATTCGAAGTAGAGCCTGAAGATGTGACTGTGTTACTGTAACATCCTGATAAACTTTAAGGAAGGAGGATTTGCTTCTTATGGATGAGCAAAGAAAGTAGTTTCTTAGGCTGGAATCTACTTCTGGTGAAGATGCTGTGAACACTGCACTATTTGTTGACATGACAACAAAGGATTAGAATATTCTATAAATGTAGCTGACCAAACAGTGGCAGGGTTTGAGAGGCTTGACTCCAACCTTGAAAGAAGTTGTACTGTGAATAAAATGCTATTAAACAGCATTTTACCACATGCTACAGAGAAATCTTTCATGAAAGGAAGAGTGAATGTGACAAACTTCATCGTTGTTTTAAGAAATTGGTGCACACACTCCAATATTCAGCAATCACCAACCTCATCAGTCACTAGCCACCAACATCAAGGCAAGACCCTCCACCAGCAAAATTGTTACAACTCACTGACGATTGAGATGATTGTTAGCATTTTCAGCAATAAACTATTTTTAATGAAGGTATGTACGTTGCTCTTTTAGACAAAATGTTGTTGCACACTTAGTAGACTACAATATAGTGTAAATGTAACTTTTGTACGTTCTGGGAAACAACAACATTTGTATGACTCAACTTTATCATGATATCGACTTTATTGCTGTGGTCTGGAGCCGAACTCACAATATCAGTGAGATATGCCTATATTGGGAAATGTATTAGATGGTTGGGTAGTGCTAACTTGGTTATTGAGCATATGGCAGTGGCAGTAAGACAGAAGGCAGTAATAAATATGAAGCCATTTGTTTTTTCAGCAAGGAAAGAGTGATAATAAAACTTGGGTTTGAGGGAATTTATCTTGGCACAATAAGACCAATTGGACCAGAATAGGGAGGAGACTAGAATCAGGAAACGTAAGTAAAAGACTGTTACAAAAATCAGGACTGAAGTTACTAAAATAAGATTGCAGCAGTTAGAATGAAAATGTGTTCAAGGGAGACATGAAAAAATCCTAAAAGGGACAGAATTTGGGACTGAAAGAGGTACCCTGGGAAACAACTGGGACACCCATATAATAATCATTATATGTAATTATATCCTAATCCATCAAGAAGGTTATGAAGACCAAGGAAATGTATAAATCAACTCTAATTAATAAAAATATATATTTGTATTATCTATTAGGACATAAGAGCTGCTTAACATTGGCAATGTAAACTTATTGCACCATCTGAATGTGCTAACTTCAAACAGCAAGTTTTGCTTCATTCCCTCAAGATTGCTCTTAGGAAGCCCCAAAAGGCATGAACTCTGGAGGAAATATCATGCTCAGAGCTCCCAGAAGGGCACATTTGAGTACCATTAGCAAAGAAGAGATGGTTTGTCTCAAATTTCAGGGGAATATACAGGGATAAAGGCCATTGCTAAGGCAGCTAGGACTCAAACCTCCCAGGGACTCAATGCCTGAAATCAACACCTCCTATAAGATAAAGAAACAAAATAAAAAATTCTACAGATAACAGCCTGTTTTGACAATTGAATTATAAAAGGATATTTGCCACTTTCTACACTGTATGAAATGAACTTCCACTTTTCTGTTTTAACCAACAATGTTCAGTCATCAAATTTATGAAATTAGCATATTAATAACCTAATTATTATTCAATGAGCTATTGAGTTCACGTATTGAAGTCAGCCATATGTCACAGCAAGGGAAATCCAGCTTGATGACTGTAGAAATGCAATTAATATTGGCAAAAGAGACATCTTCTAAAGCATAGGTTGAAATCTGGTTATTAAAAACAGGTGGCAAATAATTGCATGTTATCTCAAGCTACATGTTTAATTATAAATGTATAATAATGATTACTTGATTTTTTTTAAAGGCTAATGTACCCTTCTGAAGATTCCACAGAGACCCTAACCAAAAATAGCAAGAGAATAATTGTTCACATTGTCCAGGATTGTGGTATTTCAGTGACTTTTAGAGCTTAAGGGTTCACTTTCTGTATTCAATCTCAAGTCAATTCTGCTGTAATACCAAAAAAATTAAAAAAATTACCTCAAACTTCTGAAAAGTCGTTCTCAATGATTATTCTAAAAATCCACATCACTCCAACACAAACTCTCTTGCTTTTTGTACATGTGCTTGGGTTTATGTATCTGTGTGTGCATGTGTGCATATACAGGACAATCTCTCTCTCTTAGTTGGCTAATATGTATGTATCTAACATGATGTTAGCACTTTGGATAGCTTTATGTTTCTTGCTTTCAAGAACAAACAAAATTCATGCCAATAGCATTTAATTTAGTTTCCTTTTTCTGTTATCATCTTCTAGCAATTTTCTCTCACTGTAAAGCAGGGTTTAACAACTGAAAGGGGGTATCTTGCCATCATTTTTAAGGCTGAGAACAAAATAATGTGTAAATGTTGGACTAAGAGTTGCAACTGTATATATTGACACTATTTGGAACTAAAATTGGGCTTTTCATTGATTTTTGTTGTTGTTGTTGTTACTGTAAAATTTTTAGGAGAAAAAAATCTAACCATGCTGTCACTCAGCATAAGAAAGGAAAGGGCCCCAAGTTTCTATCAATTCGTCAGCAAGAAATAATTTTTGAATATTTCCTACAGCTTGTGCTGTGTGAAATACTGTGGAGGATGTTATCTCCACTCTAGTGGAATTTACTACTTCGATTTTCATCATTTCTTTAGGTACAGAAAGCTATAACCTTAAGTGAAGCAACGTGAAATAATAGCTGTATCAACAACTCCCACTCATTAGTGGTGCCATGTCCCAGGCACCCAAGGGAGAAGACTGAGCAAAAAGGCTTTCTTTTCTCTCTGCCTCTCCCCAGCCTCCCGCTCCATACATAGCACAGACATACTGGAATATTATTTCAAGGATATTTTAATCACTGATAAAAAAAAACCATAATAATCTCACAAAGTTGATACGATCAGTTACAACAGAAAAGTGGAAGTTCATTTTATGCAGTGCAGAAAATGTATACTTGTACTCCTAAAAGAGTTGGTCAGCTTTAGTTAGGAATCTAGTTAGAAAGCTTTTGTAAAACATACATTCTCTCAACATCAGGGTATGTCCCTGTTAAAAAGCTATGGGGCATATTTATACTTGAATGAAAATTATATGATGTAGCCTGTTAGTTAATTGCTGCCATGGAACATGCAAGAATCCTGTATATTCAGGGTACTATGTATATTCAGTTTTTATATAAAAGCAATAGGCAAAGGGAGATTAAATATTGTGCTAAGTGTTGCTTTCAGAGTAGACTTTGTGTTCATGAGTGAGCATTAGGCAGTGCAAATCTCCTTCCTTTGGGACAGGCCCTTTGCATTGTAAAAGCAATCCCACATGATTTGCACAAATCCTTGCATACCTACCATTCCACTTCTTTATACTATCATAATATGGCTTTGGAGGAGTGAAATCCAGGAAGTTTTGACTATGTTTACATTATCTTCAGCCTAATATTTTTAATGTGAAAAGATAAACAAAGTAGGAATATGTATTTAATCTGGCAGCTTATTTTCTTGTCATATGAATATGCAAAAATCCACCTGTTCAAACTTTGCACATGATCCCAAAAGAAGAAAAGCACTGATAGGTTGATGGACTGAATGAATTCTAGCATTTTCTAGTTAAGTACATTCATAAATCTCAGAATGCGCATTGAAAGATTTATCTGCTGCCACAGGCAACCAACTCTGTTTATAAGGAAAGTATTGATTGACTACGTACCCAGTGCTTTATGTTTCATGTAAATCAAAAATTACACAACATAATCTCTGCCCTCAAGACTGCAGATTTCCAAGAAGTACATGATATCCATTGGGGTAGTTGAAAAGTATGGAACATATTTAGGTGTAATTACTATTTTTACTTTTCAGGAAAAGCCAAATTACATACTGTTTCAAAGAACAGTGGTTTTTATTCCCTTAGCACCAAATCAACAGAAGTCCCTCCAGCACAGCAGCAGTTGCTTAATGGCCCTAAAGAGTTAATGTACTGCCTAAATTGAATACAGGTCAGTATCTACACTAAGTGTGCCCTCAATTAGTGTTGACTAATTGACTTTCTCACAGTCAATAAAAGCTCCATTTATGGAGATGGAGCCTATGAGACTAAAATCAATAATTTAAGAAAATTGTGTGTTGAATACTATATTTGTAGCAATACAATATGTATAAATACAAAATGTATAAATACAAAAACTATATGTATTTATTTCCATTGTGTAAAATAAGATGTTTTCTAGTTCACTGACACTAATAGATGCCCAATAATTTTCAGTAATAACTAAGCATTGGGAGACCATAGCATCTGAATAGCTTAATATAAATATTCTGATTGTGATGCAAGAGTGATTATGAAGCATTTGAAGAGCCAAATATCTGAGGATAAGATGTAAGCATTGTCGATTAGTAATAATAACTTCCAATCACAATAATAGAGATTGCCTATTAGTGAAAAACATTCCATTTGAATTGCTCATTGTACATCATCTTTGGTGTACAGATTTTGACAACTTTCTACAGTATTTTATGCTACTCTTTAAGGCAGATAAGCCTGTTTTTAAAGATGTGCCAGAAGTGGCCATTTAATTTGAAAGCATAATGAATTTCCTCTTTAGCTTCTATCAGGGTTGTATGGCTCTACCCCTTGATCAGGTGACAGACGGGAAAGCATCCCCTTAGTCAAAGCAGACTCTCCGAGCGTGAGGGAATGGGCTGTTGGGTACTTCAGCAGAGCACTGTTCCTGCGTCCTATGTCCAAACCGGAGCTGTGCTCTATACTTGAAAACTTTGAGCGAATAAACTGACAAGTCTCTAGAACCACAAGATGGGAAGTAAAATTAGTTCAGAGAGCAAGGAGTCAGCCAAAAGGTCAAAAGAACTGGAGAAAAAGCTTCAGGAGGATGCTGAGCGAGATGCAAGAACTGTAAAGTTGCTACTATTAGGTAATATTTTTCCCCTATTGCTTTCAAAACCCTGATTTTTCTTTAGTTGTGATGTATTTAGTTTCTCAAACTTTAATTTCTGAAATATATTAAAATATGGGAGATTTATTATGGAAGTGTATTTGGAAACTTAAGCAGACTTTATTTGAGCTCTATAAATATTTAATATTTTTTGGTTTAGTATTTTATTACATGTTTTTTGTTAGGGAAAGAGATACATATTAGATAACTCAATTTCTCTATCAACAATATGATTTACTATTATATAAAAAACCATATACATTTATTATTTTATTGCACCCTAATCATTTTCTGAATGTTAGTTAGCTTTTAAATACTGAAAACAATCTTTTAATTACATGTTATAAAGATCTACATTACTTTGTTTGAACAGAAGTATTTTGTGTTGTTTTATATCTAATGTAATATATTATTTATTTACCTGTGCTTTTAAAATCAATTAGTCTCAAGTCATTTAGAGAATAATGATAAGTACTTTAAATTATATTAATACTATTTAGGCTCCTGAATATCACCTGTGATATTTTCTGTACACTTTAGAAATAATCCATCTAAATCCTTTTAGAGCATTTCATTCAGATCAGTACATCTCTTCTACTTTTTTCATTCCCTCAAATCTCAGCAAAATATTTTACCATGACCATAAGTTCAATACATATTTAATTAACTGAAAGAATGAAAATAATTTTTACCACACATTTTCCATAAAACGTAAAGCATTTAACATGCAGTGGTCACTGAAACAGAAATATGTTTTTGAAGTAAAAACTAAAGTCCTATATAAAGCAGAATACAAAACAAGAGCTTTAATATAATCAGGGTTGTATGTTCTCTCTGACCTTGGCAATACACAAAAGGACTTGATTGTGTTTCAGAATTGTGAATCTCTTACACAACAAATTTCCTCATTTTCTTAGTGTTCCCTTACTGTATCTAATTTGCTCCTAGTGGCAAGAGTGTTAAACCAACTGTGGGATTGCCACACTTGCTCCTCAAAGGAAAGGAAATGTCCACTCCCATTACAAACAAGCTCTGTGGCTGCACACATGCCCACAGCACTTGCCACTAACCATCAAGAGGTTGGTGACTTAGAAAGATGTTGGAATAAGTGCTTATGACTCAACTCAACACACTTGCCCTAACACTTCAAAGAATGCTCTGGGGCTCTAATCAAGAGTGAAAGTAATATGGACATAGAAAAAACAAACAAAAGGTGAGAGAGAAAGCCAAGCATTCATACAAATGCCTTTTATACTCCTCTTGTCCTAAGAATAATGGTGTAAGAGTGGTGATAAAATACAACAAAAATCCCTATGTTTGAATAAAATTTCAGAAGAATAGATATGTTTTTCTACATATCAATTTTTAAAATATTTCTCTTATTATGGAAAGCCAAAAATATAAAAGGATTGATACTAAAATTTAGACAAAGAAAATTGCTATCAAACATGCCAAAAAGCAATGACTTTTGAGAGAAGCACATCAGAGCAGGTGGTTAACTGGAGATTTGCTTGTGAAAGAAAAGAGCAGGACAGAATGGTGGTTCCCAGGGGCTGGGGTGGTTAGGAGGTAGAAGGGAAGGGGGAAATATCGGTCAAAAGATACATAATTATAGTCAGGAGGAATACATTTCAGGAGATCTATTGTACAGCAAGGTGACTATAGTTAAGGATGATATATTTTATTCTTGAAAAATGTGAAGAGAATGGATATTAATGGTCTTACCATGAAAATGATAACTGCATGATAATGCTTTGTTAATTAGCTATATTTAACCATTCCACAATGTATATATACTTCAAACATAATGTAGCACATAATAAAAATATGCAATGCTATTTAAAAAATATTTAAAAATTTTTTAAAAATATCTGCAGACGACTGAAAACTTATCAATGAAAATTCAGTCAAAAGGTACAGTGTAATGATAAAGAAATGGATAAATTTTTAAAATTTTGGACAGAGAATCAGTAGATTACTGATATATGGAATCAGAAAAGTTCACAGCTTCACCCAGGGCTATTGATTTGCCTCAACTTATTATGTACAATGATACCAAATGTAAAAGGAACCATCCAAATTATTTTTAGATTTCAGTGGTAAGTTAGAGCAAGAAGAAAGAGTAACATTTGTTCCAGGGGTATAAAAGAATCACTAGTGGTACTAGTATACCCTTAACTTTTCTAAGACTATCATAATTTTATACATTTATTTTCATCATTACCATAGCATATGCTTGGATTTGTGTGCACCAAACTTCTCAATCATATTGTATTTATACAAAATAAATCAAATTCTCTAAAGTTTTTATATTCCAAACATTTGACTGAGTTTTCCCTCCTGGACTCCTTTTGAGTTCTATGTATAATGTTTCAATTATCAAAGTCAAAATAACAAAGTCTTGAAACAACTCTGCATCATTCTTTTAAATTAAATTCAAATAATTGTTATATTCAATTTGGCCTTATTAAGACATCATAAAAGTGTTCAGTAGAACTAAACTAACACTTTCCATTCTCTCATCCTTAAATCTCCTCACCAATGATATCTACTTAATTTGTCCCATCATCAAAACAGTATTTTTAGTCATCAGTGTAATCTGAACAAGTTTCTAAGTTTACCAATTAATGGATGGCATGTGGGGCTAATCAGCTTAACCTTAGTAATGATCAGATCCTGAGTGTAACATTACATTTACAAAAATGAGAAATCTACAAAACCCTTTGACAGAATTTACTGTTTACGCTGATCCTCATTATCTGGTGAATTTCTAGGTGCCTAAACACATTACCTTTCCAAATTTAACAGAGTACTATAAAGTAGACGCAACCATTTGGCATTATTGAACACAAGATTTCAATGAATATGAGGACCCATCAAAGTGCTACTTTACAATAAAAGTGTCTCCTTGCAGAAAGATTCCTTTCTTATTATAACTTTCGGACCTACAGTAAAATTACAGAATAGATGTCAAATGTGTATTTTCAGCAAAAGGCAAGCTTTTAGGAAACACTGAAAAGGATTCATATATCACTGACACATTTGACAACTGCAATCAAGTCAATAATGTCATGTACTCTGAAAAATAATTAGACTATAAATATATTCCAAAGAATAATTTTAATAAGAAAAACAAATTCTAATGAATTCTTTTGTAGACTGTTAGTTTTTAAAGTTTTATTTATAAATGTTTGACTAAATTGTATTACTATTCAAAAGCAATACCTATTACTTAGTCATAAACTAAATATGGATCATGTTTCCATTTTTTCTTTCTCCTTTGTGTTTATTACTTCAAATTTCAGTTTAAATTTATTTCTACACATTACTTTCCTTATGTTTTTTATAAATTTCCATCACAGGATCTGGTTAGATTTAGAGCCAATGGAAAGTATAGGGGAAAAAAATTAAGTTTTTTTTCTTCATATCCAAAACATTCTTCCACATTTTTTATATAATTAACATTGATTCTGCAGTTCTCAGTTCTGATATTATAATTAGCTTTTATCTAGGGATTTCTAGCACTATTACAGGAAGTTCATCATGGGTGTTCTTTTCCTTTAGTTCTAAAATCTTTTTGTTTTTAATTTTTCTTTGTGCTATATTGTAACCATCACGCTATTCTTGTAATGGTGCCATATGAGTTTTATTGTTTTAAAATGCTATTCCAATCATCTGGCTCTTAGAAACATGAATATGGATGGAATCTAGACATCAAAGAATATCTACTTTAAATGTGCTTATATTTATTGTAGCTAATCAATATTTAAAAATTTTTCAAATAGTCATACCTATTCAACAAATATATATTTTGAAAAGTATGCTTTTTTTAGTATTATAGGAGGAGAGTTATAATTATGATTTTGATACTTCTAAGGGCTTATTACAAAATAATTGGTAAAATAAAACTTACATAGCAGAATGAGCTAAATAGTTTAATCACATAGAATAGTGAGAACACAATTTAATACTAGTTAAGAGGAATGTGTTTTTTAAGCCACTGAGGTAAAATTGATTTAGTAATAGTTCGTCAGGTGTTTTGCTTTTTTACCTCTCAGAGTGACCTTAAACTAGCCACATTTTCCTCAGAAAAATGATGTGTCAAAGTATTTTGTAAATTGTAAAAAGGCAGACAAATGTGGTTTATTTTTTTGCATAACCAATTCTCAAATCTTAAAAAAATTAAATGTTAATATATGTGTACAATTTATCTTCCTTTTGTCTTCTTTTTATGTATAACAAAGAAAAGTGACATAAGCTGGGGATGGGGGGAAAGGAGGTAGTAATTTGGAACATTCAAATTTGTGATTTTTTTTTAGAATGACCAAATGGAGATATATATTTGGTCAATATATGGGTCTGAAAATTAGAAAGGATAACTCTAGTGAGAGCTTTGTTTTTGATACATTCAATTCCCCATTTTGATTACTTATATTTTCCCTTTTCCAGATATCCAGTGTGTATAGGCCAACCATGTGATTAACCAAAGCCTGTTTTTGGTTGTTGAAACATAAATTTACACTAAAATATTGTATACTCAACTACTGCCACAATTAAAGAACACTCAGACAAATATCTATTAATAAAATAGGTCTGTGTGGGAAAGGTCATACAATTTTATACTTTAATGTCTTCATTTTTTAGCTTAAAAGGTATATTAATAAGAAAGATGATATATATGCTCAAATGCTTCTCAAAATCCAAGAAAAATCATATTTTTAAACATATCCAATGCATACGACTTGATGAGTTTGGAGATAAGCATACATCCATAAAACCATCACCACAATCCATGTGGTGAACATTTTCATTGCCTCTAAAACTTTCTTCCTGTCCTCACATTTATTATTATTATTTAATGATAACACTTAGCATAAAATATATCCTCTTAGCAAATTTTTAAGTATACAGTAAAGTATTTTAAACTATAGGTACAAATATTATCAGATATTTTTAAATAAAGTATAAAATTGGAAGTT